TCCGAGTGACATGCTGAAACTTAAAGGACTATACTCAGAGCCACACTGATCCCTTAAATTACCTAAAAGTTTTAGTGTAAATGCCCCAAGGGCAAAGAGCATAACAGATTTGGTGAAAGAACAAACTTGAAACTGTTGATTATTCTCAGTTCAACACTGCTGATCTGCTGTACTATCTTTCAGCAAATAGCTGAATTGGAGAAAATTGTTCAAAGATAAATAATTACACAAGATTGCAACAAATGTATTTATGCTGGGGGGAAAGGAAGAATGGAAAATAAAGAAGATGTAAACTAAAACACCTCAGGAAACAAAAGAAAAAGAGTTTAGAAAAATAAAAATTCAAATGGATAGAAGAGATTGAAAAAGAAGATAAAACAATATCAAGAGATAATGATCTAGCAGAGCTTAGGAAAGAAATATAATTACCACAGAAATTAAAGTCATAGAAGTAATAAAAAATAGAAAGAAATGAAAACAATCAGTAATGTGGATATGGAAATAACTAATAAGATGATAGGAGTAGAAGACAAAGAAATTCAATATGTGCATAAATGAAGTCTCTGAAAAAAAACTAAACAAATAAAACAAAAAATATTTAAATATATTTGAGTATTTGTGGAAGAAATTCTTGTAGGAAATATTTAAATACGCACATCAGAAGGTACACTGCTCCATGGAATATCTTGCAAAAACCATCACTCATTTTTTTTCAATTAACTTATGGAATATCTGCTATGTTTGTAATTCTGGGGATAGCATAATAAGTTGGAAGGACAAGTTTTTCCATACCCCCCACCCCCACTTTTCTCTCAAGTAGTTTATGTTCTAGTCAGAGAGAAACAAATATCAAATAAAAAAAATAATCAATACAATAATTTCATACAGTGATAAACCTTTTCTAAGAAAATAAGATTTAGTAATTGAGTGGGAGCTACTTTTGAATACATTTTCAAGGAAGACTTCTCTGATGAGGTAGCATTTGAGCTGGGACCTAGAAAGGAAAAATAAGGAAATAAGCAAGAATAAAGATTCCTAAGGCAAGAATGAAAGCGATATAGCTGGAGTTTGTGCTAGAAGAGCGGAGTGAGGTAAAGCCCAGAGGAAAGCAAGGGCATTGCAGGCCATGATAAAGAGTTTGGTTTTATGTTAAGTGCATTATGGCGGAGGGATTCAGAGTGTGGGCCAAGAAAATGGATGGTAAATACGAGAAATGTAGTTTCATATCTACTAGCTCTGTGACCTAGGGCAAGTTGGCTTCCCCATGTGCCTCAAATTCCTCATCTGAAAACAAATAGGAATAATGAGATAGATCATTTACCTCATAAGATCGTTGGGAAGATTAGAATAGTGAATTCATATAAAACCCTTAGAACAGTGCTTGACATATATAGTAAAATTTCAATTAAGTGTTAGTTGTTATTACTGTCTAATTTACATTTTAAAAGGCCTCAGGCTGTCTTACAGATAACGCATTGTAAGGGTGTAAGAGCACAGAAGCAGGATTCATTTAGGTGGCTATTAAAATCATCAGATGAAGAACAGCGGAGGCTCAGATAAAAGCCATAGTAGTGTAAGAATGTGATGAAATGGACGGATTTAGAATATATTTTAGAAATAACAGAACTAGCTAATGTATTGATTGGATATGGTGGATAAAGAAAGAGGTATAAAAGATGAGTCCTGGGATTTTTTCATGCACTAATTGATCGGATGAAGCTACTATTAAGCGATAAGGAGAAGACTGATTGCAAGAAACAGGTGTGATTGGGGGCACAGTGGTAGAGAAGTTCTGTTGGGACCATGTTAAGCATCAGATATGTATTAGCCTTCCAAGTGGTATCATCAAATAGGCAGATGTATTGATGAGCCAAATTGCTGGCAAATAGGTAGTGTTTAAAAAATTATAAGATTGGATGAGAACACAGAGAATAGAAGAACATGGAAAGTGGAAGAAGCAGTAACTGAGAGACTGAGATCTGGGCACTCTAATAGAGTGATTAAAAATATTTAGGAGACTAATATGAGTAGCCATTGGGATAAGAAGTCCTCCAGGTCATTGGGAAGTCATGAGAGTTAAAAGAATGGATTATTCAAACACCTTGGGAGCAGTCGCTTGTGTATGATGCTGATGAGATATAGAATAAGATATAGAGTAGTAGTAATTGGATTTGGTGACCTCTTCAGGAATAGTTTCCATGTAGGGGTAGAGGACATGGGTTACAGAAAGAATCAGAGGTGAGGAAGTAGGAATGACAACCACAGATCACACTTTCAAGAAATTTATATGAAACCACAAAACACCTTGAATAGCCAACACAATGTTGAGGAAAAAGAACAAAGCTGGAGTCATCATGCTTCCTGATTTCAAACTATATTATTGCTATAGTATTCAAAATATTATGATATTGGCATAAAAACAGACATATAGAGCAATAGAACAGTATAGAGAGCCCAGAATTAAACCCATGCATATATAGGTTCATTTTTGACAAATGAGCCAAAAATATACAACGGAGTCTTTTCAATAAAAAGTGCTGGGGAAACTGGCAGCCACATGTGAAAGAATGAAACCGGACCTCTATCTTACATCATATATAAAAATTAACTCAGAATTAAATACTGGAAAGAAAGACCTGAAACCATAAAAATCTTGAAATAAAACATGGAGGATAGGCTCTTTGACAGTGGAACTATGTCAAACTAAAAAGCTTCTGCTCAGAAAAGGAAATCATCAACAAAATTAAAAGACAACCTATGCAATGAGAGAGACTATTTCCAAAACATGTAACTGATAAGGAGTTAATATTCAAAATATACAAATAAAACCCAATAGCTAATAATAATAATCTGATTTTAAAATGGACAAAGGACCTGAATAGACATTTTTACAAAGAAAACACAGAAATGGTCAACAGGTATATGAAAGAGTGCTCAATATCACTAATTGCCAAATAAATGAAAAAAAAAATGAGATACCGCCTCATACCTGCTAGGATGTGGCTATGATCAAAAAGACAAGAGACAAGTGCTGAAGATGTGGAGAAAAGGGAACCCTTGTGCACTGTTGGTGGGAGTGTAAATTAGTGCAGCCACTATGTACGGAGTGTGGAGGTTCCTCAAGAAATTAAAAATAGAACTACCATATTATCTAGCAATTCCACTTCTGGGTACATATTCAAAAGAAACAAAACCATTATCTCAAAAAGATAGCTGTACTTCCATGTTCCTTGTAGCATTATCACAATGGTCAAGGCATGGAAACATTCTAAGTGACCGTCTGTGGATGAATGGATTTTTTAAAATGTGAGATAGATAAATTAGATAGATAGATAGGTAGGTAGGTAGATAGATAGATAGATAGATAGATAGATAGATAGATAGATAGATAGATAGATAGATGATAGATAGATAGATAGATAGATAGATAGATACACACACACACATATATAGTATGCTCATGGTACATAAAAAATATAACAAACCAAAATTTCTAGATAGCAATATGGCAGGTGCTATAGAGAAAGACCTGAAAGAAGTAAACTCATGCCCCCAAGATATTGTTACTTCCAGAAACTTTTGAAACAGATAGTTGATAGAAAAATATGAGTAAAGAATATGTATCAAAGTTGTTTCATGGTTACCCTTGGAAGAACAGAAAGATTATAACTTCCAAACATGAGTTAGGGGTGAGAAAGGGGCATAGGAAAAGACTGGTTTAAGAACTATTAAGAGAAGTAGGCAATAGCATGGTAAATATATAACAATATAAAATGGCAGGTAAGACTCCAAACATCAGAAATCGTAATAGATATAAATAGTTGAAATCGCTAGTTAACTGATAAATTTTAAAATTTCAATTTAAATTAAAAATTTTTTTTAAATCCAGGTTTGTGCTTTTTACAAGAAATGTACCAAATCAAAATGTGAGAGAGGTTGAAAATAAGCTATTCAAGGCAAATGATGATAGCACATGCAAAATAATTGTCAATAAATTGAGGATTTAGATAATTAAAAATTGTAAAGATGAAAACAATTTATCAAAAAGATTTCATTGTCATGAGCTCTCTTATGTGCCTAACAACATAGCTTCAAAAAAGAAAACCTCAAACAAAACTTAAAAATATGAAATAAACACAATAAATAAGATATAGAGAATTTTAATAAAACAACTTTGCTCTTTTACCCTACTCAGTACTCTTCCCTAACACCATCTCTATGCCCCAGCCTTTCTTTTCTCTCACATCACAAAAACTGGCATACTCTTCCCCAAAGTTCTTCCCTCCTTGTCCGGTGTCTCAAGTCTATCCCTTTTGGAGGCCAATTTTCCAGTTCTCCATCAAACATTGTCTCTTCCCCAAAAGATCGGGGGTTGAAAACACGTTGTTAAGAAAGAACCCACACAGAAGAACAATATAAAGTTGAGAATAAATCAGTATTCACACAGGGCTAGTTTTTATCTCATATCAGTATTTTGGTAAAGAAGTTTTAAATAAGATTATTTTAAATTATAATTTTATGATTTGAGTCATTATTCACATTATTTGTTTTTTAAAGATGAAAATGAATGCAGAACCAAGCCAGGAATATGTGAAAATGGACGTTGTGTTAACACTATTGGGAGCTATAGGTGCGAGTGTAATGAAGGGTTTCAGTCAAGTTCCTCAGGCACTGAATGCCTCGGTAAGTTGATCTATGAGTGTATTTTACTTGGTAAATAAAACATCTGTTTTATGATGTAATCACAGAAGAGCTCTCTCTATATATCCTTGTCTGCTAAACAAATCCCTCAATCTGAGTAATCTACATACCTTTTCCTAAAGATACACATCTATTAAGATGACGTGTTTGTATGTGTGCGCATTCTATGCACATCTATGTGTAATGTAAATAACTGCCTTAAATATAGTCTTCCCCAAATTAAGATTAATTAAACTCTATGGAAAATGTGACTTTAGTCAAACTTACATCAGGGGATGATTTAATTCCAAAAGAAAATATTTGCGATGTGAGGTAAGCTCTGCTATATTAATGATATTAAAGTAAATGCCATATTTCAAAAATGCAATGAAGGTTAATTTTTATTTTATGGTACAGAAAAATGTTTTAGAAAATATTTTCTTGTGGAAAATATAAATCTCAGACATTGTGTTATAATGCATACATTGTAAACCATTTTAGTTAATTACGTTGAGGTACAAAAATATGGAGTAATAAAACTTAAAGCAAACAGAAATAAGAGCATTCATCATTTGATTTGGTGTAAAAACAGCATGTTTCAACTCTAGATTTTTCTCAAGATGATGTCATCTGCTTCAAATCCTAGGAAATTGTTCATCAGGAAAATATATTTTAGTTTTTGTTGTCTTCAATCTAGACCTTCACTATCCACCGGCCTTTTCAGAAATAGAAAAGATAATGGACATAGAAAGATAAAACCATATTAAAGATTTCTTTACCTATCTACATCAGAGAAATCCCTTTTTTGTACTAAAAAAGTAAATCTACTTAGTCCAAATGTTTGAACAATCTTTTAGATGTAGAAAATATGAGATTAAATTGAATATGTACCAAATTTATAATATAGTCTAGAATTTGCTTTTCAAAATCAAATCCTGATACTTGTTTGCATACATAAAGGGAAATGTTTAATTTAATTGTTCTTTTATTTGGATTCTACAAAAACGGCAGTTTACTATCACTTAGTTGCTGATGGATCGAAGAAAATAAATCTGTTCTAAAATATATCACATTTTGTCAAATTTAATAAACTGTCTGTAGTGAAAAAAAAAACACTCTATAAACTTAACCTCCAATAAAATTTTGTAATTGTTAACCTGTCTTAAACAGTGTGACTGTTCATATAAAACAATAAATATCTTGTTAAAAATTATTGCTAAGAAGGAGAGTATCGATTGTCCTGTTTAATTTGAAGATCAAGATAATGAAGTGTTAGTTCCACATCACTGGTTCTTATTGACCATGTTGTCATTTCAGACAATCGACAGGGACTCTGCTTTGCAGAGGTATTGCAGACAATGTGTCAAATGGCATCCAGCAGCCGCAACCTTGTCACAAAGTCAGAATGCTGCTGTGATGGGGGGCGAGGCTGGGGTCACCAGTGTGAGCTTTGCCCACTTCCTGGAACTGCCCAGTACAAAAAGATATGTCCCCATGGCCCAGGATACACCACTGATGGAAGAGGTAAGGAGTTGAGGATATTCATGCATATTGTCAATGCAGTGAACTTTATTAACTCAGATCAATTTGAAGGAAAAGTGGAAAAATTGATAAAGTAATAATAGTAGTTAAAATATTTGTTTGTATATGCTTTTCGCTAATGCTCTAGAAACTTTAAAAGATGTAACCTTCACATCAAACCTAAGAGGTAGAATTTATTATTCCCTTTTTAACAAATGAGGAAACTAAAGCACAAAGCTAAGGTAACTAACAACTTATTTTCCCAAGATGACACCCCTTTTAAGAGATGGACCCAGGAATGGAACATATCTGTCTTACCCCAAAAGCCATGCTTATAACCCCGAAATGATACTTAGTTAAATAAATGTTGCTTATTTATTTGAGTGTGCACCAGAATTCATTCTATGTGCAACATATTTACAAACCAGCAAGTCTCATAATTGATTAGCATTTCCATTTTTTTTGTACAACCAACTTATGTCCTGAAAAATATCGTTTTCCTCTATTACTATACAGATTCTCAACTCTATGTGATTATTTGCTAATAAAACCCTTTCTTCAGTGTCTAACACAAGTGCAGATTTGAGGCCAATCCATGGAAGATTATCACAAATTCCAAATTAGTTGAACTTCTAAAAGATAGCTTTCTAGAGCTCTCCCAAAATAATTCATATTTAGATTTCAAAATGAGTTAACTCAAAACAGGGCTTTCAACACAACCTTTGTTTATCTCTTCCCATTGCTTCAGATTATTTTTCTATCCCTTCTATGTTGCCATTCACCTGAATGATGAAAAGGTTCTCAACAATATTATGAAAGTTGGTTGTTAGCTATCTCACGTTGATTCCGTAATTTCTCTTAGTTTCTAACCAGTTTTATCCTTACATACATATTAGCTTTTGTTTTTAGTTTGTTTTTTGTTTCGTCTCAGATATTGATGAATGTAAGGTTATGCCCAACCTCTGCACTAATGGCCAGTGCATCAATACCATGGGCTCGTTCCGGTGCTTCTGCAAGGTTGGCTACACCACAGACATCAGCGGAACCTCCTGTGTGGGTAAGGCAAGGCATCTCTGCGTCTGGGGGTTGTCAACTACCGTTTTCTACAAGTCAGTTACTGCCAGTGGAGCATCTTTATTATGGAGCTATGGAATATACATTTTATTTAAATGATGCTATTCCTTTAAATAATGTGGTTCTTAATATTATAGTAGTTGTGCAATGCCTTGTCCCATAATAGGGGACACAGAACTGTTCAAGTTATCAAAAAGTCTGTTCAATCAGGGAAACATAAAAATTATTAAAAACATACTTTCAACATTTTATATTTTAAGATGTATAAATGACCTGTCATTTTTTGATGAAAGAAATGGGCTTTTGTTTACAAATGAATATGTTTGCATATAGAGAGAGAATGCTTTGTGCATGTTCCTCATTCATGTTTTTTGCATAAAATATACCAATTAAGCCTCATCTAAAATTTCCAATTGCAAAGTAATTTCTGTACAGAAGCCTTCTACATTTTTAAAATCTCTTTTCCTAATTTAATTTTTATATCATCTTATCCACACTATTCCATGACAATTTGGGGGTGGGAGTGATCTGCCTTTATTAAGTCTTTCCAAAGCATTCAACTTAGTTTTCATTGAAGAAAAATCTTTTCTCTTTCACATTTCATCAACTTATGTGATATCCCATTAAAGTACCTATTTCAATAACAAGTACACCTGGCATGAATAGATTAAGAAAAAAACACTTGATTGGGCATGAAAGTAATAGAGAATAGGCTATTAATCATGAGCTTTCAGCATTCTGTGGACATCAATCAATATATTTTACAGAGAAGATGGAGATTGTTTGCTCTCAGAGTCCCAGCAGAAAAAAAGGCAACATATTCAAATGAGGACAGTTTAAGGAGGATTTAACAAAGGGACTATATCTATAAAGGTGTGGGCTGAGTGTACAGAAACCACAAGGGATAGTGCTGTGTGTTGGGGCTGTATCACTCCTGGGCCATAAAAAACGAGGGAGAGGTTATTGAAACCTGGAAAAAGAAATGTATGCACAGAGGGCCGCCTTGAGAAGAGCTGTGACCTCTGACCCAATGACTCAGTCAGCCCAAGCCCATCTTTCAGGGAGGAAATTGAGGCAATAAGGACCAGCTAGAAAACAGGGCAAGAGAACAGCCTCCTGGGCCCATAAGCAGGGTAGACCAGAGTGACGAATGGACCTCGAGGGGCAAATAAAAGATTCCAGCGTGGTCTGTGACCCCACAAGTTGCCTAGGGGAGTGTCAGCCTAGAAAGTTTAAAAGAACTTCTGCCATCATCCATGTGTCAAAATAAACTCTTACTTTTAAGTTTATGGTTCTCAAATTGTAAAGCACATTAACCTAAAGAAATACTGGCGTTTTTTGAGCCCAGACAGCTGTCAAGACATTATAATATTTATCCAAGATCCGTAGATTGATCTACAAAGTAAACCAGTAGATCACTTGAGTGAAAGTAGTTCTGTGCATCATTTCTCTCTGGCCGTTTTCCATTTTAAGTTAAAGAGGAAAAGCTCAAAGAACGAAGTGAGACTGTGGATGGAGGAAAGAGGCTGGTTGTTTCTTTTAACCAAGAATTTAATCTTCACATCACTTTTGCTTAGATCTTGATGAATGCTCCCAGTCCCCTAAACCGTGCAACTTCATCTGCAAGAACACGGAGGGGAGTTACCAGTGCTCATGTCCACGGGGATATGTCCTGCAGGAGGATGGGAAGACATGCAAAGGTGAGCAAGGAGTCTGGTGTAGCAGGCGGGGAGAATTAAAACCCAAGTTAGTAGTGTGCTTCTTACAGCATACTGCACAAATTTAAACATAAATAAAATTGTCAATGGCCATGCCACCCTGAACAAGCCTGATCCCGTCTGATCTCGGAAGCTAAGCAGGTTCGGGCCTGGTTAGTACTTGGATGGGAGACCGCCTAGGATGATCAGGTGCTGATCATCCTAGGCGTAAAAAATAAAAATAAGGGAATGCAGACTGACAAGGTCCTTGCAATCTGTGAGGTCAACCAAGGGTTGCCTTGCCTAAAAAATTAAATTAAATTAAAATAAAAATAAAATTAAAACAAAAAATTTTGGTGAAGGAAGAGACTGAGACAAATAACTAAACTAAGATTTTTTTTTACTCTTTATCTAAGATTTCATTTCTGTAAACTATCTTGATTATTGCCAAAGACTGAAAATAAATTGGTAAATTTAATTTTTTGCTTAGGTAGTATCAAAAATAATTATCAAACTAAATTAGATAATTTAAATAGCTCTAATACTATACTCATATATTCAATTTTATGTAAAACTTCATCAGTATGAAATTAATGGACCAAGGAAATTCCTATCTAATTAAATTTTTGAAATACAGATTATTCTTAAGAAAATGAAGTTTTATTTCTAAGGAATCTCAAAAAACAAATAACATAGCAAGCACTGCTAGTCTCCTGTTTCTTTTTAGTGAACTATTATGAGTCAACTTAATTTTGCATATTGTTTATAAATGAATACAACTAAAGTATGTGTGTTTTTAAGTTTTAAAATGAGTTAGTCTTGTCTACATTTTATATTGCTTTGTAAATTTATTTAAATATATTTTCCTATCTTAAGTTTCAATCTAACTAAAATCACACTTTGAGTCTTCTGTTAGAATTACAGATGCTTTATTTTTGCTTTCTCAGATATTTATGATGGTATTTTCATGTGAAGCCTGAGAACTTCGCTCAATGTTTGTGTTAAGACCTTTGTCAATTTTCAGATTGTTTTATTTTTAGCCTATCTTTTAATAGAAATAGGTGACCAGCCATGTACTAAACTGTGCATTAAATACAATCTTTCAGTATAAACTTTGAAAATAGTTCATGGAAACCAATGTGATTCATCTATTCGATTTCTTATTTTAAGAAAACTGTGTTTTGTCACCTTTGCCATCCTATCACAGTAGCCCATAATACTTCTGCTGCTCCCATCTGTGAAAAGAAACTGCTTGCCACATGCATATTGAAGTCTATAAAGCTTCAAGCAAAAATCTAGACAAAATACTCCTGATAGAACATGCACACCTCCTGTGGCCTCATGAGAAAAGATAGTCAGATAACATTGCTCTGATTTTCCAAGACTTCTCTCTTTCATTTCAGACCTCGATGAATGTCAGACCAAACAGCACAATTGCCAGTTCCTCTGTGTCAACACGCTAGGAGGTTTTACTTGTAAATGTCCGCCTGGTTTCACACAGCATCACACTGCTTGTATTGGTAAGACAAAACTACAAATGGGAAATTTTACAAACTTTTGATAGATGTATAAAAATTGTACTTAAAATGATAGAATAATATCTCAATACTTATATTTAGCACTAATCCCTCAAAATAATGATCTAAAAATGTTGCTAATAACATGGATTTTTTTTTCACAGGAACAATATCCGAAAGAAAAAGACCTATATAGTCCAGCGTACACACAGTAGGCATATTCCAAGTGGTGCCTTTATATCACATTCTAAATATAACCATGTGTGTTCAGATAAACTATGATTAAAGGTTCACTGTAATTTTGAACATGCTATGAACATGCTGGGGTTTTTATTTTAGAAGACACTTACATTAAAGGACTTCCCATCTGTTATGGGAAACCATGTTCTAAATTAACCCAAATTACGCTCTAATTACGAATCTCTTGAAATATACTTTTTCTTACCATTTTTGCCTTTAATATGACAGTGAATCCTAAAATGCTGTTTTCATGTCATGAAACTTCGGCTTTAATATCACTTTTTACTTCATGTAGTGAAATTTGAGTTAGGTAATAATCAGCAGGCTTGACTCTCTCCTCCTTCGTGCTTTGCTAGACAACAATGAATGTGGGTCTCAGCCCTCTCTTTGCGGAGCAAAGGGGATCTGTCAAAACACCCCTGGAAGTTTCAGCTGTGAATGCCAAAGAGGATTCTCTCTTGATGCCACCGGACTCAACTGTGAAGGTGAATTTACGTGCTCAGAAATCCATACTCTAGTATAGCATAATGCCATTTTCTTTTCGCTTTCAATCCACTAAATGAAACATTGTGATCATTTCAAAAGAAAAAATACTTAACAAAGTAGAACCCAGCAATGGATTTTTGTTCATATCATTTTGGGAGCAAAAGAAAATATGATGAAACAAAATTTTGGTGAGTGTGAATTGGCTTTTAAATGAACTGAACTGTTTTTCTAATTACTGATCTATAAAAGAAGAGAACTGAAAAAGTATTATGTACCTTATATGGTTTACAGTAGTAAAAAAAAAAAAAAATTGGACTTTTGTACCATGGTACCTAATTGTATGAAAGTTGAGTGTAAGAAAAAGAACCAGTTATCCTAGAGAATTGGAGACATGTGCTGAAAGCACCTGGGAAAACTGATGGCTATTTCCAAGTTATTTTTTCTTGAGACTCCTGATTGACTCTTTTCTACAATGGGCATTTCCTCTGAAGTCCCCCTTGCAGTAGGTATTTCCTGTAAAGTCTAACAGAATGTTTAAGTGGGAATAAAATAGCAATCTGCCTATGCTTCTTTAACATTTCCATCGCAAGTGCTAGTATATAAGACAAATGTACGAGGATCGGTATCTTTTACAAAATGCCCATACCAGAGATTAAGAGACTATATACATGACCTTTATATTTTATATAATACTGCAATTTATGTTCTTATTAATTTTAGTCATCCTTTAATTACTTATTCTCAGACATGATTGTTAATTCTAGAAATGTATTCAAAGTTTTTAATAGGCGCTTTATAAGAATTATAGAACTTTATGTGTATCTAATTTGCAGCCACCAATTCAGTTTTAGAATTTTCTATTTTAATATGTTATATCCAAAGTTGAGACTTTGAAAGTATTCTGAACATACAGCTGCTTGCCACGTGTGAGTTTAACTTGTGACTGTCCACATAAGATACCATTTATTAATTATCCATATAAATTTGTTACATACACATCAGACACGCCAATTTTATTTCACTCTTTATGGGTAGCTTTCAAAGCCTCAGTTGTCATTCCAAAAGACTATGCATATATGAACAAAAAAGTTATTCCATATGTGTAATAATACCACATTGTGTCTAAAAATAACATTCAAACGCTTAAAATTTGCATCTAATTAATCTTGAATGATAATTAAAAATTTTTGCATGCAAAACAGTTATATTTTTTAGGTATCTCTCTAGGGCTTGTATCTTCCTGAAAATGAGGATTACGTGTCAATCTACTTTTGAATCTACTAGAATATGTAATGCAATATTTATAGAATAATTATATCACTTAACAAATAAATCAGACCATATGCAAGTTAATCCATCCAAAATGCACAGCATTTGGGGTTGCTATGGTTTATTTGCTGAAATTAAGATGTTTTTTGGAGCATTGATGTGGCATGGTCTGGTGGATAGCATAAGAATGTGGTCTTATCTCAGAATCATTTTTTGTACCACCATTGACTAATAACTCAGAATTGACTTATCTCAGAATCATTCTTTGTACCACCATGTGACTTGGAAAAATCATAGCCTCTCTGTGTGTCTTGTTTGTTTGTTCCCTTGATAATAATTACTCCAGGTTGCATTTAGAGTATATTTAAGAATAGTAGAAAGAGGTTACACAAAGATCTTGCTGGGCTTTTTTTTGCAGATGTCGATGAATGTGATGGAAACCATAGGTGCCAACATGGCTGCCAGAACATCCTGGGAGGCTACAGGTGTGGTTGCCCCCAAGGATATATTCAGCATTACCAGTGGAATCAGTGTGTCGGTGAGCACTCATTTGTTAAATGGCGTCTGCTTTTCTCACCTTAAAGTATCTTTGAGTAAAATGAACAATAATAAAGGTTGTCATTTCAGTGTAGCCTTTGAATCCTAGAACTTAAAAACCAGTATGTAGGACTGATGTGTGGGGATCCATTCTATTAAATTCTATTCTGGGTGTATGTTTGAAAATATCCAAAATACGAATATGATTTTAAGTACCTAAACTCAACTAGAGCTTTTATCATTTTAATTTTCTGCTGGATGTAATTTTAAGTTTCTAAAGATGGTGTCAAGAATCATCTTCTTCATTTGCCAAGGTCAGGGGCTTTTTATTAGTAACTTAGTATCTTTAGATTTAAGGTTGAAGGCTTACCCATCCAGCGCCCTCATACAAATATAAAGGAATTCAGACTAACTTAATGAGGACTGTCCATCTGTGTTGTTCAGTCACATAGATGTAATGAAGAAGGCAAAGTATTTTAAGATAGAAATAGTACCTAGTTACAGTGAATTCTGTTGAAAAGTACAGACAGAAGTGTTTGCAAGATAAAATCTGTGGGCACTCCGCTCTGTTCCTTGCATAAAAAATAGTCATGGAAATTCTCCTTTTAAGGAGAGATTGATCAAAGAGAACACTGTTCTCTACTTGAGTAACCAGCTAACTTACTTAGCTGCTTAATTTCCTGACTCCATTTGAGTGTTCTTCGTAGACACACCATCTAACACATTGTGACATTAGATGCTGGCCTAACCGAGCAGAAAGGGGAACAGTGGTCCCGCAGAGAAATGGCAGGGAGCTTCCTGTTTCTCTGCAGTGATTTCAGTTATCCTACATGTACTTCAAATATTTTACTGTGAGTGATCCACTAAATAAATTAATCTGATTTTGTCCTTTATGGTCTTCTCAAATGAAATTTCCGATGACAGGTTAGTGAATTGAGAAGGAAATCAAGATAAATTTCAAAGAAGGGAAACTCACTCTGAAAGTCTCAACTATTGTCCGAGGTCAAAGACAGATGCTTTGCCACACCACAGATACACACTCATAGGGGAAAATGCCAAGACCGTTAATGATCAAGAGGTTAAGGACCAAATTTTAAAGGATTATCAAAATGATGAGTTAGTCAATCAAAATAATTTCATAAGTTTAATTTACTTTTTTGTTTCGTCGCAGAAAAAAAAAATGTTGCGAAAGTCCTTATGCCCTGGTTTATTGATTTATAAACAGAAGCAAAGTATAGGTACACTCTTTGGAATATAGGGAATGGTACTTTATCAGATAGCTATTAAAACAGTGTAAAACAATTTCATTATATTATGTTGCTTATGAAATGAAGCTCACCACTTTATTTAGCAAATACCATGGACTTCTTAGTTAATTCTCTGGAACTTAAGGCAAAAGAGTGATCTAATATTTCACAAGTAGAATTCCTGTTTTTTAAGCAACCATAAGAAATAGGAACATGTATGAAGCATCAATTCAATTTTTAAGTTTTTAAGTTTCCTGAAATTTCTGTCTACTGTAAACATCAAGTTGCAAAAGTAGCTTCACAGATTTTCACTCAGTGTGGTCTGACTTAAAATCAAGACTGTGTGGTATCCCAGTTCCCCTTTGTGGGATCCTTAGAGTGGGCACCTCAGCAAGGCAGTCACCCCAGAGCAGCTCACACTGGAGTCCAGCCAAAAGCCCATGTGCCTAATCCGGAGAGACTCTATGGACAGAGGAATAAGTGGTTTCAAAGATGAGTTCAAAACTAAAGATACATAAGCAGATATCCCCAACTGCAAATATTCATTTATGAGCTTGCTTTGCTAGAATAGGCACCTCTAAGCAGCAGGTCTTTGGATAAGTAAGATACAGCAGGGATTTATTCTAAAAATTCTAGATTTTTCCGTGCAGGGTTGAGGAACTCAGCTGGTACATAATAAAATTGCTGACTTTCTTGCCCTGAATCCATTAACAACACAGTTGGAGTTTAACTCGAATACATAACAGGAATAGAATTAAATAACCTATTGGGAATAAAAGCAACAAGTTAACAAAAGAACAAGAATTGTGACAAAATGCAAATTAAAAAGCCACAGACCATTTTTGTTTGTCATTATGTGTGTGAATATCTTCAGTCATTCATATGATTGAGAGGAGATATAGAATGAAGTATTTCATTCTTTAAAACCAAGAGAGGTTTATCTTGAGTCGCCTAGAAAATGAAAAAAACTTAGTTAAAGGCATCAGATAATTTAAATACTGTTAAATGGTAAACCTAAAATGTTATTAATACTACTTCTAATTTAAGAAAAATGACAGTTCTTTGTGTTAACATTGAAAAAAGCTTTTAATTCAAATGAACACTTCAAGAAGTTTCCAGCTAGTTACCACAGAACATTTAGAACATTCTGGTGCACAGACTATGCATGTGTAGGTAACATTCTCAAATATTTGCAAGCATCATAATTATTAAAAATTGAAAATAAGTCAATGTTATTAACATTTTCATACGAAGAAAATTGATGTCTTAATATATGAAGCTTTAAGTTATTTAGTGTTAGTAACTCCCAGTTGCTTCTGTGGCCTTTTAGAGTAATTCAAACATAACAATGTGTCTTGAGTCAACTCAAAGTATGTCTCACGCAAGAACACATTTTTAAAGTCAGATTACCTAAATCTATAAAATTATACCATGATGTACATTTATAGCATATTAATATAAAGTGCTTCCAAAACTTTTACATATTTTTAAATATTCTTGTCACTGGTGTGTTAAAATGAAATTTATTCAATTATTTGGTTTTGCCTGGTAAGTTTTCTACTTAACACAATGCCTAATACTGTATTCTTAGAAGGATAATTTTGTTAAATTATAACCTAATTTACATTCTCTGTTAGAAGAAAAATCGTGCATATAAATGTCAGATTTAATTGTAAAAGCAGATGAGCCTTTGTGGCAGAATTCCAAGTCTTTTGTCTATAGAAATAAAATAGCAGTTCTATTTATGTCATAAGGTAGCTTAGTTATTAAGAATTTATTTATCTACTTTCTCTCCATAAAATGAAGGCTAAGAATCTGTACATATTAGATAATCATAGCAGATTTTATATCCGGTGATTAAGAATTCTACATTTGGCGGTCCGATTTAATTCCGAAACTGTAATCGTGATACAAAAATGTGCCTAATAACATCTACCCTTTCGGTGACCTCTGTGCCGTACTTAATGGAGTTTAATTTCCTGTCTGAGAGGCCTCTTCACTGAGACGCCATCTGCATCTTCCATAATCTCACTGAGCCACTGCAGATCTGCACTTCCCTCTAGCCGTTGTGTCCCAGGCACACACCTACTTGCAAATGGGTCCACTTCCCCACGTGGGCTGAAACATATACTTGTCATATATTAAGTAAACAGACACTCCACTGGAGTCACAAGAATTTGAAAGAATTCTACAGAACAGACGTGACTTGTGCCCAGAGTGAAATCTGGATTATAATAAAGCCCAAAGGAGTCAAGCCACATGTTGTATATCAACCAGATGGTTAAGAGCAAAGTTATAATCTCCAAAGTTGAAAGCACAATCAGGTTTTGAACTTGTAAAATGATAAGGGAAACTGAAGGTATAACCCGTAATTATCCTGCTGTCAGGCATACAGTATAATGTTAGTCATTGAACTAGTAAAGCCCGAGGTAGCTGATGGCTGGATACAAACCATCTCAAAAGGCACAGACTGCACCTAATGGTTCCTCAGGCAGTTAAAAGTGCACTAGCCTGTTGGTTCAGTAGATCCGGTTAAATAATGTTTCTTTCAATTATTTTCATTTACGGTATTTAGATTATTTTCATTTAGGGTATTTAGATTTTTTTCTATATTTTCTCCCCATATGTAATGAAGGCTTTGGGAATTGCTGAGAGAATGGATACAGATATAAATATAGGCTTTATAAAACTGAGATATAATTCACATACCATAAAATTCACCTTTTTAAATCGTACAGTTCGGTGGTTTTTAGTATATTCTCACAGGAGTGTGCAACCAGCAACATCACCACATTTTCATCACCCCCCGCAAAAAAACTCCATTAGTACTCATTCTCCATTTCTCGCTCCCTACAGCCTCTGGCAACTAGTGATCTACTTTCTACTTTTATGAATCTGTCTGAGGTAGAGGCCGTTGAAGTCACCTTCTGTGAAGAGAATAGAAGAGTTTTTCAGTAGGCAAACTACAGATACCTATCCCAAGGGGCTACCAGTGCACTCAGACACAGCACAGACAGACTATAAACGGGTAGAGTAAGGTCTTTTAAAGCCATAATTTAGGAGGATTCGTCGGGTTTTGTCATTTCGTTTATATTTAATTTTCATATGCTTTGCAGTCAGCCATCGGACTAAACTTTTTTTTTTTTTTTTTTTTGACGCAGATCTGGAATTATTTCCCCTATAAAATCACAGGTACTTTGGGACTCAGGCTCTTCTTCATATCACGGTCCCTTTCCCCACGTAAAGAGTTTTTTACTTTGTGTTCATAGACGAGAATGAATGCTCCAATCCGAATGCCTGTGGCTCTGCTTCCTGCTACAACACCCTGGGGAGTTACAAGTGTGCCTGCCCCTCGGGATTCTCCTTCGACCAGTTCTCCAGTGCCTGCCACGATGTGAATGAGTGCTCCTCCTCCAAGAACCCGTGCAACTACGGCTGCTCCAACACAGAGGGGGGCTACCTCTGCGGCTGCCCTCCTGGGTACTACAGAGTGGGACAGGGGTAAGGCTTCCATCCTTCCTGCAAACAGGAAAGCAAGCGCAGTCCACAGGGCATGTTCTAACTCAGGCGCCCCTCCCTGAGTTCAGGCTTCCTGGCTGCCTAGCACTGCAGAGAAGTAAACAGTGATTAGAAGCCCAAGAGACGAAAGGTTGATCAGAGCATGAAGGGTATGGGAGATAGAAGCACCTAGAGGGCATATGGATTATAGCTGTGTTACGGGATACCTCCTTTGTGGTGAGCCTAAACCTCGAACTTGTATACAAGTGTCACTCTTGCCACACAGAAAGGCCTAAGTTGATTCAGTCGGATCCCTTAAGACCAGAGACAAATGTTTAAAACTGCAGTTCACATGTTGCCGTAGATACGTGGGTTGTGAGGTTCTCGTGGAAATGACTTCTCCTCGGGGTCTTCTATGAATTTTGGCAGGTGCCAGCCCAGTGGTTCCTGAAGAAGGAGTTTGTCTCTCTCTTTGCTCGCTTGGCTTCTTATTGCACAGAGAGGACCTACCTCATTGGGGTGGCACTGCTCAGCACAAGGTGGCTCCACGGGGCTGGATTCCCTCCCACTAACCACAGTTTCCCAAGTACAGTCTCTCAAGCCCCATCGCCTGGCGCTGAAGTGCCAGCCTCCTGCATTCTTCCATTAACGCAGCCTGTGCTCAGCAGCACAGAAGATGGGAATTTGGGCGTCAGTCAGGGTAGCCTTCTTCAGAAAGAGTGGTGTGTGAGGCAGGCACTGGGAGCGGGTGGACTAATCTGTCCATCTTTGCTACACAACTACGCTTGAAACAAAAAGCTTGGTTTATAGACCAGGGCCTTGGAGAGCCAGCTCACTGATTGCTTCACTAACCTAAACAGGAGCTCAGAAGTCGGTCATTTACGCGGAGAGCTTTGTCGCAAGCAGTGGAACCTCTCTCAGCATTCTCTTTGGAAAGTCATATTCTGCTTTTACCTTTTCTGGTTAACTACACCCAAGTGCTTCAGCCTAATTGAGATCGAAAATTGGGGAAGCCTATGAAGAAAACAGAAACGCTAATTTGAAAAAATGTATGCACCCCTATGTTTATTGCAGCATTATTTACAATTACCAAGATATGGAAGCAACATAGGTGTTCATTGATAGATAAATAGATAAAGAAGATGTGATACACACACACACACACACACACACACACACACACACACTCTGGAATGTTATGAAGCAATAAAAAAGAATCTTGTTATTGATGACGACATGGATGGACCTAAAGGGTATTATGCTAAGTGAAATAAGACAGAGAAAGGCAAATACCATATGGTTTTATTTAATTATGCTATCTAAAAAAAAAACAAAACAAAAAACAAAACAAAAACAGACTTATAGAAACAGAGACCAAAGGGATGATTGCCAGAGGGGTGGAGGATATGGGAAATGGGTGAAAGGGTAAAAAGGAAATAGTCAATAATATTGTGATAAGTTTGCCCAGTGACAGATGATTACTAGAATTAGAGGGATGATCCCACTGTAAGATGTAAAAATGTTGAATCGCTATATTGCACACCTGAAACTAATATAACTAATATAGTATTATATAACAACCATACTTAAATTTTTTAAAAAGTGTATCAAAGAAAAAGAAAGTTGAGGAAACCTAGGGCTCACTCTCAGAAAAATTTTGGTGGTCAAAATACTGGAAAATCTCATCTATTAAGTATTAAAGAGAGTTACAGAGAAAATTGGGTTTTTGTGTTTATGAGCTTAGAATTTCCTTCGTTGGTGTCTTATTTCTGAAAAGTCTTTTCTCTACCACTGGAAAGCTACAGTCAAAGCTTGTGATCAAGCCTAACAATGCCTTGCTTCTTGTTGCAAATAGCCACTGTGTATCAGGAATGGGATTTAACAAAGGGCAGTACCTGCCACTGGATGCAGAAGTTGATGAGGAAAACGCTCTGTCCCCGGAAGCATGCTATGAGTGCAAAATCAACGGCTACTCTAAGAAAGACAGCAGACAGAAGAGAAATATTCACGAGCCTGAACCCACTGCTGTGAGTAAACCTCACTTTGTTTTGTCTCAAGATTTTATCCATATGAAGTCATGTGTACCATGCGGTAAAACTTTATGTAGCTTCAGTGAAGCTACGACTATCTTGAAATTTAATGGCTGAATTAATGGGCACAATATGGCAGAGGCCAGTCAATCAAAATTAGTTGATTATTAGCTTAAAACACAAGGACTGGGGGAAAAGACTTTAAGAATCACAGATCATATGTTTTTAGTTTTTGATTGATTTGTGCCAGAGGGCAATAAGATGTCCATCTAAGAAATAGTTATTTTGAAATGATTCAAAAAAAAAATATTTTGAATTTGTCCACTTCTGTTTTATACATCTGTAGCAAACTAGGCCGATGTTAATTTTCAGTAGGAAACCCGACTAGGCCTCATATTCTGTGACAATTGGTGAGATAGGTGTTCCTCCCATAGAAATTTTATCTCCAAATAACTTGTAGTTTGTAAGAAACTGAAGATCTGAATTGCCTGCTGCTGGTGTTTCTCGGCTGTGAGTGGTCTTCCGCAGAGTGTTGTGGGGGTGGGCCACAGACTGCCTGCTCTTGAATATATGCTCCCTGACCCTTCCCGCTCATTATCTGTGTTACATGGGTCACGTTTACTTAACCCCTCTCTACCTCAACGTCTTCACCTGTAAAATGGGAATAAAAATACTTACCTCTGAAGAGTGGGTGACGGGAGGGTTGAGCTGGTACTGTGAGGTGCCTGGAATAGTGCCCGGCATATATATTGCACACATTCAGTGACTGTCACTGAGTCGTATTCAGTATCTAGAGATGATGATGATTTTCCCCAAAGATCAAGGATAGCACCACTCTCTTTAGTTAATGTTACTGAGAAATTCCTCCACCAAAAACATCTATTCGACCAACTGTGTGACTTGGGCAACCCGCTTCAGTTTTCTGGGTTTCAGAAACTTTCATCTATAAGACAAGACTTCTGTAGCCCAATGGTCTGTGGTTCTATTTCATAACAAATAATAGACCAGTATTCCATTTACCTTAAGTAAACTAAAGCACCTAACTGATTTAAATATGACAGTTGAGGTATTCATCAAGTACCCTAAACAACAAATCCAGATATTTTATCTCTGAAACCTTCCCATTGTGGTACTTGGGATGAATCTCTCTGAACACTGATGACACTTCTGGGCCACTGAAGCCAAGTTCTTAACAGGCACCCAGCCAAAGCATTATTTTTTTATTGTTGTTGTTGTTGTTTGGCCTGTATTACTAAGAATATAGCATTCTTAAACCTCCCATCTCTGTGAGCAAGTGAGACTTGGCTTATCTGGGCCCTGCCCCCACTGGCTTTTACCAAAGCCGATTCAACCCTGAGCCCTGAGGACTCTGCAGGCTGTTCCCTCTGCACTAATGGCTGCTAGTAAACATACTCCCACACTCTGCTTGTGGTTTGTGGGCCTTAGAAATCCAGCCAGGCCTTCAGAGTGAAGATTTCTCTGGGGACAGTCCCTGCTGTTGGATAACAGCTGCACTTCTCGTTTTGACGTCAGAAAAAAAAAATTACAATCTTTTTCTAAATTGTCTTTTTTAAATTATTAATATGCATGATATTTCACAAACTCATCAAAAAAACTTGAAATGTGAATACTTTCTGTAGGCTCAGTCCTGTAACTTTACCTGGATAAGGCTGAGTGAAAAGTCGTAAGGATTTGCAGGGCAAGCCCTGTGGAATTGACCTTTTCTTCCCGCTGACCGGAAGTTACAGTCGCCTCCTTCCCAAGCACTGTTCATATGGAAAGCGCAGAAACGGGGAGCAATAAGTTGTGGCTGCAGCCCCAGCAGCAGGCCCCTTTCGCGTCCTCTCCTTGTGTTCTGGAAGCTCTTCCCACACCGTTTCCTGCTTTTTCTCCAGGTGGAACAGACCAGCCTGGAAAGTGTTGACATGGACAGCCCCGTGAAAATGAAGTTCAACCTCTCTGGCCTTGGCTCTGAGGAGCACATCTTGGAACTCATGCCCGCCATCGAGCCTCTCAATAATCACATCCGCTATGTCATCTCCCAAGGGAACGATGATGGCATCTTTCGCATCCACCAAAGGAATGGGCTCAGCTACCTGCACACAGCCAAGAGGAAGCTGGTGCCCGGCACACACACACTGGAAATCACTAGCATCCGTCTCTACAAGAAGAAGGAGCTTAAAAAACTGGAAGACAGCAATGAGGACGACTACCTCCTAGGGGAGCTCGGGGAGGCTCTCAGAATGAGGCTGCAGATTCAGCTCTATTAACCCTTTACAGACTTGGTTCCAGGCTCAAATCCCTGCACAGCCAGCCTTCAGAAGCCTTTGAGAAATCAATGACTAGTTTTAAAGAGGAGAAAAAGACAATTTTGGTTCTTTCCTCCCTGTCTCAGACTTCAGAATGTTGACCCTCACAGGGAGGGATAATTTAGACTCTGGTGTGGCCAAAGATTTGAGTACAAAGGCAACCGTGGTTACTGTATTTTTTAGATAACTTCACTTTAAAATATATTAAAAAAAGAAAAGAAAACCTAAATGTTCAAGAGATCAGCATATGGCACTAAATGCACAAAAATAATGTGAGCTTTTTTTTTTCTGTTAGCAGTCTGTAACACTTTGGGTATTTTGCTATAGTTGCTAATTAAAAAAAATATAGATGTTTATTTATTTTTAATGCAGTAATATATGGAGAAATGAACAAACTATGTAAACAAAAAGGGAAACTCACTTGTTTTTCTTTAGATTTATAAATTTGAGCTATTTCTTTTAGAGGTGCTTTTTAAAAATTCAGTAGATTCAAGAGATGTTTCCTTTGGTTTTCTGCCAGTCGTCCAACTGGTACACATCTGATTATTTTAAAGAAAGCCTCACAGAGCTGAGTGGGCAGTGTAATCAATAATTTAAGAGACAGAAATGTCATGAGATCTTTTATAAAGGAGATCAAAGCCAGAGCGGCTCGTTGTGACGATATTTCACATCACCAGACACACCAGGCAACGAAGATGAAGCACGACACTGTAGCAAAATACCTTGACTGCTTGTGAGACCAGTAGCGTTGCAGGCCAAACCGTACTGTATTTCCTTCTCATAACCTCAAGGAAGCACACGTGCTACCCACAACACCTCATTCTTACCCAGGGTGTGCTGCATACTCGTGGTACCGTAGGCAGCTGAAGAACTGCCGTTCCTTTGAAAAGGAACACCTGGCGTTCTGTAGTGTTTGGTGCTGTCTTAGATTAATGGTGCATTTATTATGTTCAAGCTATTTCAGGATTGCCATATGTGCAAACAAATCATGCAGTACAGCCAAGGAATATATGTTGATTTTTTTAAATCCATTTTTTTTTTAGAATTTTCATTAATACTGTAGTTATACACCATATGCCTCGTTTTATCATAGCCTATTGTGTATGAAAGATGTTTGTACAATGAATTGATGTTTAGTTTGCTTTAGTCATTTAAAAAGATATTGTACCAGAACGTGCTATAATAAAGAGTACGTCTCCGTGTTCTTCTCAACCCAAGAACCTGTCCCTGGACCAGTGACCAAACCTCATATGTGAAATGGCCAAAGCGCATGCAGGCTCCGGGTTGCTCTTCTCACACCTGTGCTGACCAAAGATTAGTAACCAGTTATATCCAGTTTGGGTTTTTGTTTTGTTTTGTTTTAATAACTAAAAAAAGAAACAGTGTAAATTTGTAATCAAGTGTTTGTGAGGAAAAACTTATGGTTTTGGGTCTTGTTTGTCTTTGTAGGTCTATGTATCAAATATGACACTTTTCTTGCAATAAAGCTTATTTTGGGGTAGTTTTCTGGTTGAGAGTTTTATGGGACTACAACTCCTGTTGTTTTTGCGGGAGGGGCTGGGAGCTTTGCTTTACGGGGACCTGTAGCAAAGTACCAGGAGAGCCAAGGCACATTCACAGGAAAACAAAAGAATTTCGTCAAATCTGTGACACCAAGTAAGCCGCAGTGTTCAACTGACGATTACAGTTTCAAGTCACATTCAAACAGAAGAGCATAAACGAGGCAGTTGTTCCTTTCCAAATAGGTGCTAAGCCTCTTAGGACGTATTTTCTAGAGACGTCTGTTTCTTCACTTCATCCCCACATGTGCTCTGAGTGCCACTGTGTTAAAGCACCCTAAAAGCACCCGTGAGGAAGTCAGACATCCTTTCAGTCTTCCTTCCTTTCAGTTTCCCTGAACTGGAGTTTTTAAGCAAAAGTACCTAGCGGGCGGAAGACGGGCCAAAGACATCTTCACCAAAAATCATCCAAAGGTTCCTGTCTCTTGCGATGTTATGCACTTTCTTCAGTGGAGAAGTGGTTAGCGATGACAAGTGATTTAACAGGAACTCTCTCTTTGATATACTGCTGAAATGAGTACAGAAACTTCTTAGAAGTTAATTCAATACAGGGTTTGAGAATTTGTGTGCTTAAATTTTTCATCCAAGAAATAAGAAAACAAGGAAATATGACCGATCTTAACGCTGTTCTTTGCCAATCAGAAATTAGCTGCATGGAATAAAGAAAGTATGTATTTGCCTCAGGGCATCCTTTAAAACTTAACATGCATATTCAGTTTTATCTGGCATCCATTGTTGGTATAGCACGAGCTCCATTACATAAAACTACCTGGAACCAACGTTGACTCCAACTTTGAAGGTTGAGCAACAGTTTAGCTCTAACCTGCTCTTGAGGAAGTTTGAGAATCCACACCATTAGGTGCTTTACACAGAACATAAGCGATAAAAGACCGTTAGGGGCTTTATACGTAAGAATGTACTGGAAGGAAACGACTATCTCAAGATGCTCCTTCCAGGAAGAACCTTCGTAGGCACCTCTGGTGCTTTATTGCAGTTCTCTGTGAGCACTGACACAGCCGTGATTGATTTGTGTCTCTCTGGTAATTAACCGCTAATGATATCTTCTGTACCATTTTGTCATTCCCGTTAATTGTCCCCTCAGAAATTACCTCAGCTAAGTTACAGAAAACTTTGCACAAGAGTAAAGTATGATGCAAGTCTTGACATATAAACCAAATCCAGTGAGTACATATACTAGTAATGATAAGCAATAATTAGGTCTTGAGCTGACATGAATTTAGATTTGGAGCTATTTAACATTTAGTCCTGTTTAGTACTTTTTGATTTTACTGCTTGCTTTTGGTAGAAGAAAGTTGTTCACATTTGCACGTGAACTTTGAAAATAATTTAGGATAATAAATAAGGATTTTACTCTAACATCAAACGTCTGCCCTTTTTAATTATTTGGGAATATCAAACAGGATCATTCATATGCTCTGTCCCTTCTAAATACTCCAAGGTTTTATCTTGCATGAATTACCTTTTTGGTTCACAGAATAAATGCTTGCGGTGAAGGATGGGGAATACAACTAAAATTTATAGAACTTCAGTCTGTTTGAGTCCCACAATTCTTTAGGTTCATACCCTATTGCTTCACGGGAAATGGGTCAATTCACTTGTTAAAATTAAAGCATGGGGATCTGCCAATATTTGGCCATGTTTGACCTACAAAATGTTACTTTCATATCGTTCAATTGAATATTCAGAAATATTCATGTACCTCAAATGAACAGACCGAAAATCTGAAAATTTCCCTTCTCTTTGAAAGATAATTCCATTCATGCCTTTCAATGCTGCTTGTGGCCCATTCTACTCCTAAATTAGAGTAATCCCCAAGAGACTATACATAATTTATTCAAACAACCACTTTCATGCTCCAGAAACTTTGGAAAGAATCTAAATCACACATCTTTGGGAACTTGGGGAGATTATTGGAGTCTGTTTAAACATAAAGACATCTATTGGAAAGGTTAAAATATAGCACAATGTTTAAAAAATAAAAATAAAGAGGAAACTAGGAATCGTTACTTCTAAGGAGACAGAGATGGAGATTCATTAACATCCCACAGAAAGTGAGAGCGACAGCCATGTTTGCAATCTCAGCCAGCCTGCCTTTGATAGCTAGTTTCTGGTTTCTTTTTCTTCCCCCGCCCTTGCCCCCACGGCATGATTGCTTTCTCAAGTAAGTACAAAACCATGGTTTTCTTGCTTAATAAAAAGTTTGTGTTTCTGATCTTAATTCTCCTTGAAAATCCTTTTCATGCACAGAGCAGTGGAGTCCTGAAATACAATGTACAGCTCATAAAATTCAGCATTTCAACCACTGAGGCAGTATATCACCTTGCAAGTAAGAGAGACCTTTCGTGGGGGTTGGGGCAGGCTCATTGACTCCCTTGGATCTGCACCCCCTCTGAGACGCTATCCACCCACTTCTGGATGCACAGGTGGGTAGGAATCTTACGGGTGTCCCGGTGTGATGTGTATAGCACTTTTGTTCAGTTATGACTATCCAAATAGTTGTAAATAAAAGGAGAGAGAAAAGGAACAATGACTCAGGCCGTATGATAGCGACGTCAGTGCTTGGCAGACCTGTGCTTGCATCCATCTCCTTGGACAAGCTACGTCGCCTCCCTGAGCTTTGGTTTCTTCCCCAGGATGATGACTCCCTACAGTGTGACAGAGGACTGAGTGAGGTAGTACAGGCAGCGCTGTCAGCATAGGGCCTGGCACACAGCAAGCACTGAGTAACCGTCAGCTGCTCTTCCTCCTCCTCCCCGTGCTGTCACTGTAATCACTACTAGGAGAACACGACCCATGTTCATGCAAAGCCCCTTCCCGAGCTTGGCCTTGAAACTGTGACCTTGCCACTGAATTGTATGCCTACACTCAAGCCATGTCTCCTAAGTGGTCTGGACCTCTAGGGACTCTGGAAGTCCTAGTGCGGTCATGAGCATTTACGTTCTCCACCCTGCCCTCCTCTGACTGCAGTCGTGGCCTTTGGCCCTGGAAGTCCATGTCACAACATGGCCAGAACCCTCACATCTACAGACTCCTAGAAAACCAAACATGAAGGGAACAGAGACCTCTGATCATTCCTTTGGGGATATATCAGTGTCATGGAATGTCAGAACTAGAAAGGCCTTTAGAAACCTACTCTTACTTACAAGTAAGGGAACTGAGGCCCAGAGACGTAGCCCAACTAATTGCACTGCTGGTTTCCACTGAGGTGAGAGCAGAGGCCTGGTTGCCCGGGTGTAGTCTGATGCTATTCATATTTCCACTCCATGGTAAGCCTATTTGGATCTCTTCTAAACCCTGAGGATATAGGCCAGTTCCCATGGTTTTGGCTCACATTGAAGCCAAAAATGTTTTCCAAGCACACTTCAGGCACCGCTTTGGGTT